AAAACATAACAAAATACGAGTTTTAATTGAATTTTTTATTTAACGTCATGCTACAAGTTTGTAATTAAATCAATTTAATCTCGCTTATTTCATTCTAATATTCGAGTCGAAGTTTTTTGTTCCGAATATTACCAATCACAATTTCTATACACCTACTAAAATACAGTCATTAAAAAAGTAGAAAAATATATAACAATATATCAATGTTACTAAAAAAGTAAAAATTTTAATTGAAACGGTAAATTAACTAAACTTCTTATATTTTATTTTTGAATTTTCGGAATGTCAGAATATTATATGAAATAACGGTTCCATGAGAAAGTTCTGTAAATTACTGAACAAAATGTAAAAACAAATTAAACAAGAATGGAGTACTACTTCTTTTTTTTTGGATCTAAATGGAGTACTACTTCTTGTTTTTCACTTTTCACTCATAAACATGAGTAATACAGTTAGTTTAGATCAAGCGATGCAGTTAATACATCTGGCATTTAATTCTAAGGCGTGCTCACATGACGAACAGAAATACATGTTTTAAGAAATGCTAATAAATCGAATTAAATTACGAGACTACGTGGAGGAGTCAAATCGGTAGGGGAGTCAATATCAATATCATAATTGTAAAAGAAATCTTTGCCGTGTGATTTTATCTATAGAAGCCTCGCGTGGTCCTTGTAATTTTTGTAACGCTATGCAAATCACTGTGCCCTTTAAGTTTTCATTGCTAATTTTATTATTATTTTTTCCCTTTACAGGTTGTAGAAGATAAATAAATGAATAAATACTTGTACTAGGATTTATGTAGTGAAGGAAGAAAAAAATTAAGGGGAGACAAAATGGCAGTGATGATTAAGAAAATACAGCAAGTGTAGAAAGCTGACATTGTTTTTACGTAAAAGCTCTGTGATGTGTTATGTAGTCTAGTGTAGCTTAGGCCTGCTTCTTTCAGCTACTTTCAACTGCTTAATTTACTGTCTCGTATTTTATTATATCACTTTCCAATTCCCTTTCACATTTACTACAGTAGCTCGAAAACAAGAATAATTTAATTTTAACACTCCTACACTTATTGAACTCAATTTTTTTACGATTCTATTTTCCTTTTTGTAATTATCGAATTCAAATTTATGTTGGCTTGGTAAAATAGTTAGCTACTTGGTAAATTGGAAATGTTTGTTACTAAGTCTATTTTTATATTAGTCGACATTTTATTTAAAAGACGTATGTTATAATACCTTATCAGCTTTACGTTTATACTTAAATCCAATTTTTTTTCCCCCCCAGTTTGACTGTGAAGTAGTTGAAGTAAAAAATAAAAAAGTAGTAGTTGAAGTGAAAGTATGTTCGAGTATTAAATTGAAAAGACACTATAATGAAATCTGTTTGTAACATCATAACCACTTTATGATGTACATGCAATTCTACGCCACCCGTAAAGTTGTAACACACTCTAGTAATCAGTAGTGTTATCGTGATTAACAAATTTGTTAGTTTCGTCCAAAAAAAATGGAGTGTTACATGCAAAGTTCAGCATACCAATATATAGAATTGCATGTACATCATATAGAATTGCATGTACATCATAATTCATAACACACTCCAATGTTTTTTATAACAAAACTATTTGTTAGTTCAGCATACCAACATTAGTTTTGGCACTATATGTTCAATCCTATCCTTTCATCTATGATACATAAAATATCAAAGAATCAAGTAATCAACACACATGTAATCTACTAGACTCACATTCGCATTAATTACTTATGGTAACGACTACTACAGACTTACATAGTGGTCATAAGCGATTTTGTTGTGCTTATATTTTGTAATTTTTTCCACTTTCGCAATTGGTTATAATTACTAATTTTAGACTTGTATTCACATTTATTTTTCTCCCACAAACAAACTATAAATGAGAATTTATATTCATATACATATAAATACAAGGACGAGTGGACGACCCTCTCGTAGAAACCGAGTAGCAACGTAATTTAAGTGAAATAAAATTTTATTTTAAACTAAAAACACAACATTAAAAGAATAAATATATATGTAATATTATTATCATATTTTCGTTTCCATAATTTAATAACAAGTTTGCAAGAATTAGAATAATAAATAACAAGAATTATAAAATCTGTATCCATGTGTATTTTAACCAGGAACCAAATGTTTGATAGTAACTATTTCAAAAGGTTAACAGACTTTGACCAATGTCAAATACATAAATACATGGAATGGAGCTACGACTCTTGAAAACTGTGAAGTATTTGAAGTGAAAAGTTGCATGTTCTAGTTTGAAAAAGATATAACATCAGGAGAATAATTCACTATTAACAGCTGTTCTTTATGGGACCCAAATGGGTAGGAATAAATAAGTTAGAACAAAAAAAAAACGAGAGAAAGTGGAAAGTGAGAGGCCAAAAATGTCAATGTCGGAACAACGAGAGATCTTATAGTTATGCCCATAACAAGAAAAAAAAACTTCTAGTTCGGTTAGAACATAACCAAATTGATCTTATTCTCCTGTCATCATCTTGTGGTTCCCCTTCCCCTTGTTTGCCATGTGGTTAAGGATATATATGAATTGTTTTTTTTTTCTTTAGAATGAATAATATACTGATACATGATATATGATGAGTATTATTGTGATATTGCGACTCAGTTTACCTGTATAAATCTGAATCTATAGATTAATAAAATGAATATCTAAAATTTATGTCACGGGTCATATGAGCTATATAAACATATTTGATCGATCGTATGAGTTGTTTAAGCATTTTTAACCTTCGTCTATTCAATTTAACAGCTTTACTTTAGAGAAAATATATACCTAAAACTATCGTGAAAATGTATGCAAATCATTTTTTAATATATTATATCTCGTATTCGTTGATATATTATATCGTTTTGGATTGTTTTGGTGTCTAACGTTAAATTTCTAAATCATAAATAAAAATGGACACACTAAAATGGTCATCAAATATGTATGCAAATTTGTAATCTTTGCCAAGTTGTGTATCTTACTTATATTAGCAGTTTATCGATGTATTACTTTCGCAATATATTGAAACAGTAGAAAACTAGAAAAATTACTAGTAATATGTAATTGGTGAATACTTGTGATCAAGAAAAACAAAATTGTGATCAAGTGGATGGTTTGTGATTTGGTCTAACATCGTATACATTGCGATATTCTGCCTCAGATATACGGGCTTTACGAACCGTACCCGGTCCGCTACTTATTTATTGGGCCACTACTATATTAGTCATGGAAGAAAAAATGTTTCTAGGGAGGGGGTGGGGATTATTTTATTTTTCCAATAAATGTTTTTATCACTTTAATACATAAGACTTTGTTTCCTTCAAAAGTTCAATGGTTTCTTTTGACACAGTCGCAAATTCCTCGATTATTGCAGTATCCAAGGCCTTTAGGACATTTTAAACAGCAGTCAATGTCTCTTTTACACTTAAGAACACCATTTATATTTTTTCGATCCATCTTAAACTTCGTTCCCAAACGCCATTTTCCATAATTATCACTATTTTTCTGGTATTGATCATCTGAGTGTGTTGCTCCAGCCTCGATACTACTGGCAAGATCTTGTCCTACACCCACCAGCAAATCATAATTTTATTTATCATTATATTACAAATCTTTTTTTTATATATATTACAATCTTAAAATATTAACCATATTTAAGACTAGAGTAAAAGTATTTGGGTTGGTTTTGAATGTGAGCAAAGTTGCTTCGTGGCTATAACTATTTTGATAATAGTTAAGACGGATTTAATACTAGAGTTAAAACTATGCAATGGTATAGCTATCCTTACGGAATAAGGTGAGAAGAAGTGAAACCAATAGCACAAGTTTGAAAGAAACTTTCTTCATCTTGATCCCAGAGATGTATAACAATTATATAACAATCCCAGAGCTATTTATATTGAAGATTGAGATATGAATTGAATTCAAAAGAGGACATTGTAAAAAGTTTATAGATATGAATTGAATTCAGTTCTACTCTTTAATTGATATGATTTATTGACATATGTCCGCTTTTAGTGTTTTTTTTTTAAAACAAAAATGAATGACATTTATATAAATAGCAAATATGTATTGCATCAATGATATATATTGGATTTGATATTTAAATTATTTTAAATTCCAATGATAATGTGTGTTATTTAATTAGTCATTTTAAATGTTAGTTTTAATTAGCTGATATGCATCATTTACGCAAATCATATACATCATATATATTTTATATATTTTCATTTTCAACTTCTTGCACCTACAGATCATACATCATATAATTTGTTTAATAGTATATGTTTTAATTCGAGGTAGATCTCAACACCAAAATTTTCGTAGGCCATTCAAAATTTTCTGCCCGTTGATCATAGTTCGTTTTGAAATTATTTCAAAAATGGCATTGAAACAGTTTGAACATATTAGTTTTCAAAGCATAAGAAATTGGTCCTGCGTACTTTAGTCACATAAAAGTGTGCTGTGTGTCAACGAAAAAATCGTATGAAAGTAATAGACATTATTATTACAAGTATAATGTTCTCTGGATGCACAATTCCAGTTCAGTTTTTGTATTCAATACTGAATTTGAGTATCATGGAATATACGATGCCCTGATGCAACACTCTAACTTAAACGGAAATTAGGTATTTCTATAAATTAATTGTCGAATTGGTATGTCAGAAGCCTCCGTAGCATAGTGGTATTGCGTTCGCTTCGTAAGCGAAAGGCCGCGAGTTCGATCCTCGCCGGGGGCTTCTTGTTATTTAATTTTTTTAAACTTTTTTTTGGGGTGAACAATTTCTTTTTACCTTTTCAATTTCCAGAGCCAAAAGGCCAAAAAAAAGAAAAACCTTTTACCTCTTTTGTTTTTATATAAAACAGGCAATTCTTAGCCACAATCTCCATTACTCGACAATATAATCGCCAAAAGAATTTCAAGGGAATTCCCTCCTTACCATATAAATAAAGATAGTATAATGTTTTAGTGATAAAATCTGTAGAAAAGCCCTACAGAAATCCCAAATTTCTCGTCGGAGATTTCTAAGTAAAACCCTAAAAGAAGCCATATATATAAATATTTATATTCATCCCCCTCGTGTGTGCTACTCTCTGTCTCTCTTTTCTTCACTCTGGTCTGAGATTTTGATTCTGCTTCTCTTCTCATCTTCCAAGGTATGCTTGTGTTCATAGTCCATATACTGATTTTCTTTCTCATCTTCTTCAGTTTTTATAAATATTGTTTTGAGTTTAGTGTTTCTGCCTTAAGCTTGAGCTTTTTTTACATTTCTTCAAAATCTAATAGCTATATAGATCTATGGATGATTTCTGTCGCCACATAGTGATTTGTAGATTCACAACTTGCAAGCATTAAGTTAGGCAATTAACTTTTGTCGAGCTATAAGAGATTTGTGAATTAGTGCATTCGGTTAGATTGGAATGACAATGTGGGGATTTAATTTATGTGAAGTCTCTTTTTTGATGAACAAAACCCAATCTTTTTGTGTGGTTCTTATTAGTCTGTTTTTGTTTCAATTTCGACTTAGTCTTATTTTTTGTATGACCCTAATGAATCTATTGAATAATGTAGAGATGGCACTCGAATCAAATGCTCCATTGGTGGATCCACACATTGTGGGCAATGCTTTTGTTCAAAAATACTACAACCATTTATATGAATCACCAGCGGAAGTGCATCGATTCTATCTTGAGGACAGTGTTTTAGGGCGCCCTGGTTCCGATGGAGAGATGGTTTCTGTAAAATCTTTAAAGGTAAGCTACAGTTTTTACGATTAGTTGTGTTTCAATCTTGTAGTTGGAAGCAAAGTTTCTGATAAGAGTTCTTCAATCTTGTTTTGCAGGCTATTAATGACCAGATCATGTCCTTCGATTACGAAAACTCAAAGATTCAGATTTTGACTGCTGATTCCCAAGCATCATACAAAAATGGAGTTGTTACTCTAGTCACGGGTTTGCTTACCGTGAAAGATGGAGAAAGAATGAGATTTTCTCAATCTTTTTTCCTTGTGCCGCAGAAAGGAAGCTACTTTGTGCTCAACGATGTCTTTAGGTATGTCTCTGATGACTTTGTTGAACCAGAAGCTAACAAGAAGGAGGTTGTGGAGACGACTCCTCAAGTAACAGTCACAATCTTGGGTGAGTATCGGCCAAAGTGTTATTTGATTTTCATTATCCGATCTACATTTTGGATTTTCATAAGAAAATTGATTTTCTTTTTTTTATCAGCGGAGCCGGCAAATGAAGTTGCAGAGCCAGTTTCTATCCCAACTCAACAGACCGTGGTGAAACAGACAGCTGAAGTTGCGGTGAAAAAACCAGAACGAGCTATAGCAAATGGACATCCCAAAACCCGAGAGGAAAAAGTTGTGAACGATATCAGCAACGGTGTGGCTGCTCCCAAGAAATCCTTTGCAGTAGTTGTGAGTCCTCATTATGTGTATTGTCTAATTCTATAGCTCAACCTTGCTTTTATAAACTA